TAAAGGGCTTCTGGGATGTGGGAAAAGAGAAGGGAAAGAAGGAGAAATTTTGTATGCATGTATATACAGGATAGATAACATGGTTAGTCTTATCTTTTCTTGATTGTGCCCTTAACTAGTATGTAATGACTTTCTTTGTTTCTTCCAATTAATTTCTCAAGGAGGCTACCTTTAATCTAGTGAATATTGGCCATTTGTCAAAGATCCAAAAGCTGAATGTTCAGCCTGGGATATAGCTCAGCGGCACAGCGCCTGCCTGGCAAGCGCAAGGTCCTGAGTTTGATTCCTGGTACCAAAACAAAAACCCCAAAAGCTGAATGCTCCTGGGGTTGTTTCTACACCCGTTATTCTGCTCCACTGATCCACTTATCTGTTTTTGTGCCCTTATGATGCTGGCAGTTTTGTCATACAACTTGAAATGACAATTGTGATGCCTCCTGCTTTGCAATTATTGCTGAAGATTGCCTTAGCTACTCTCAGTTACCTCTAGTTCAGTATGAATTTTAGAACTGTGATTGCTATTTCGTTGAAGAATATTTTCAGTATTTTGATTGGGATTGCATTAAGCCCATAAATCGGGTTTTGTAACATGACCATTTTGACAATATTGGTTCTGTCTATCCATGAACAAGGAAAATCTTCTGTTCTAATGTCCTCTTTGACCTACTTTTGAAGAGTACCATGCTCTTCCTTGTGAAGGTCATTTACTTCCTTTGCTAGGGTAACTCCTAAATATTTATATTTTCCTGAATTTATTGCACATGGTAATGTTTTCTTACTTTTATCTGGGTGGGTTCATGATTAGTGGACATAAATGCTATTGATTTTTGTTTGATTTCATACACAGCTACATTGTAGAGTTTGATAATTAGTTGTAGGTATCTTTTGGTAGAATTTTACAACCTTGTATATAATTCATCATGACATCTCTGAACAAAGATAATTTGACTTCTTCACTTCTTTGGTAACAGGAATCAAACTCAGGACCTTGTGCTTGCCAGGCAGGCGCTGTGCCATTGAGCAACCTTGCATATAATGCATCACGACATCTCTGAACAAAGATAGTTTGACTTTATTTCTTTCTCTTGCATGATTTCTTTGGCTGACATTTTAAGTACTATACTGTATGGCAGTGGTGACAGTGTATATCCCTGATTTTAGAGGAGTACCTATCAGTTCTTCTCCATTTAATGCAATTTTGATAGTAGGTTTGTTGTAAATAACTTTTATAAGATTGACATAAGGCCTTTTGGGGCCTATTATCTTCAGGCTTTTTCTAATGAATGGATGTTGGATTTTTTGTCAAAAGCTTTTACTGTTTCTATCCAGAAGATCACATGATTACATTTATTGATTCGCAGATGCTGAACCACTCTTGTATTTGTGCAATGAAGATTACTTGGTCCTGATTTATGATATTTTTAACAATTTTCTGCTTTCTGTTTGCCAGTATCTTTTTGATGATTTTTGCATCTATGTTCATTAAAGAGATTGGTGGTAATTTTCTTTTAAGTTGAAATCTTGACTGGATTTGGGTAATGCTAACTTCCAGGAATGAGTTCAAGACTTCTCTTTCCTTTTCAATTTTATTAAAGAGTCTGAGGAGTACTGACATTAGATATTCTCTCTGAAGTTCCTGTGGAATACAAAGGTGAATCCACTGGATCCTACTCTTATCTTAGTAGGTTTATTTTTATTAGTTTAATTTAATTGTCTTACTGTATTATTCAGGGTATTTATATCATTTTAGTTAAGTTCTGATAATTCACACATATCTAGGAATCTATCCATTTCCTCTGGATTGTCCAGTTTAATGGTGTACAGGTTTGCAAACGCTGCTAATCTGGATGTGAACAGTGCATATTGTGATTATGCTTTTTTCATTTCTAATTATAAGGAAATGAGGTCTTGTCTTTGCTTTTTTGGTAGGGTTTTTCTGAATTGTTTATTCTTTCAAAAATACATATTATTCATAGATGTGTGTGTGTTTACTCATTAAATTGTACTCGTCTTTATAGTTTCCCTCCTTGTACTAGCTTTTGAATTTTTTTTTTTTTTGTGGTATTAAGGATTGAACTTATGACCTTGCACTTGCCAGGCAGGCACTTATCCCCAACCCTTATACTAGCTTCTGATTTAAGTTGTTCTGGTATGTCTACAACATTGAAGTACATCATTAGTTCATTTATTTGGTCTTGCTCTGTTTTTCTAAAGTGGGCCTTCACAGCTATAAGCATCCTTGTTAGGACTACTTTCATTTTGTCTCATAGGTTCTGATATGTTGCAGTAGCATTATTCTTTGATTCTGCATACTGTCTAATTTCTTCCATGATCCATTGATTACTTAAGAGTGTATTGTTTCCTCTCCATGTGTTCTCATAATTTCTGTGGTTTCACTCTCAAATGATTTCTAGTTTTGATGCAATATGATAGGATAATATACATGGGATAATTTCAATTTTTGTACTTATTTAAACATGCTTTGTGGACTAGTATGTGGTCTACTTTGGAGAAAGATTCATGTGCTGCTGATAAGAATATATTGAATTGTTGGGTAGAACACTGTGCAGAAATCGATTAAGTTAATTTGTTCAAAGTTTTGTACAGCTCTGCTAATTTTGTCTAGTTGACCTACTTGTAACAGCGAGGTATTCAGGTTCTCCAATATAATTGGGTTAATGTTTATCTGATGTTTTCGGACCAGTAGTGCTTCTTTTATTAGGTTGCATATCCCAATATTTGGTGCATATTTACAATTATCATTTCTTTCTGTTGAATTGTTCCCTTAACCAATACATAATGACCTTCTTTGCCATATCTGATCAGTTTTGGCTTAAAGTCCACTTTGGGATACAAATCTTACAAAGATTCAGATGTCTATCACTGGATGGAATTTATAGGCCTCCAAAAAGATAAGCTGGAACATGTACTGTAAGTTAAAGAACATACGGAAGCCATGAATGAGTTTCAGGGATATGGAAGCTGTGTGTGAGTCCTACAGCATGGGTTTTCTCTTAACAACTCTAAACTGCCTATAGCAATTGCTGTACCTTTTCATTAACACCCTCTTATTATATTTTCTTTTCATTTTGGATAATTCTCTTTACTGCCTCACTTTTGCTTCTTCAGATCCTCATCTAAATATACAACATTTAATTAAATATCATACCCTGAGATACAGACATATGTGTTAAGATTAAACACTTATGGGTTTGTCTGTACTGGAAATTCATGAAATTCTCCCAGGTGTACTTTATATAATCAATTGTTTACATGCTGTGGGTAAAAATATACATTATTCACTTGATGATTATGTGGTTAAAATAGGTAATTTCTTGTACGGAGCTTTTGGGTAAGGGATGAAAAATGATGAGTATAGTTAAGGAAAACATGTTCTAGGATAGGAATGTAGATTAATTCAGTCTTTAGTTAACTCAACACAATACCTACTCTCACAAAGGTATTATTCTAAAGGGACTTCAGGTCTTTAATTGAGGTAAAAAAGAACCAAAGATATTTTGTAGGCACGAAGTATATCCCAGAAGAGATATCCCTACAAGGGAAGAAGGTGGGAAAGGAGGAGAGAGGAAGGAAAGGGCGTTGTCCTAATTATATATATAATATCAGATCTTACTAGAAAGACATTATAATACTGAGTTTTGAGTTGATTGTGTCCCCTCAAAATTCATTCATTAAAATCATAACCCCAAGAACCTTAGAATGTGACTTTACTTGGGAAAAGTTTTACAGATTTAATCAAGTTAAAGTAAAAAATTAAAGTAGGTCAGAAAATAGTATAACTAACCCATCTATAAGAAGAGCTATTTGGAGACACACAGAAAGAACACCATATGAAGATGAAGGCAGACATCAGGGGGATGGTACTACTAATTAAGGAATATCAAACACTGCTAACAATCCATCAGAAGATAAGGGATAAGAATGGGAGAGGTTCTTCCACAGAACACTTAGAAGGAACCAGCTCTGCTAATACCTTGGTCTCAGACTTTTGGTTTCCAAGACTAGGAACTAATAAATACCTGTTGTTTAACCCACTCACTTGGTAGTACCTTGGTATGCCTCCCATACCAAACTAATACAATATGGAATACTTGAAAAGCAAAGCATTGCATAAACAAAAGCTTGGGATATAGTTTAATGGTAGACCAATGTTCAGCATGCTGTGGGACTGGGTTCAATTCCCAGCATCCCAAAACAGTGAGAAAAAAATATTTATTTCAAAAAAAAACATTCCACCTATTTGGTACAAATAACCATGTTTCATGGCTCAGAGAACTTTTATAAAAACTTACTCTGGGATATCTGTTTAGGTAGGCATACATACATTAAACATGGATACATACATGCATGCACTGCATACACATGGATTTTCTACACAACTAAAGGATATTAGTGATTATTTACATGATAACATCATGTTCACATTTTTCATTAATATTCTCAAAACATTCACTGGATCTCCTATTTGCCTTTCAGATTGTATGGCTCAGATCAGAAAAAGATTAGCAAGAATAAACTCAAACTGAATGAGAACATATAACCCAGTCTTGATATCCCCCCTCAGAATATCCATAGTATGTATCAATTATGAGGCAATATTACTTTTTGTCTTTTTTGTATTAAATTGAATCTCTCCTCTATATATTTTTTAAATAGAGAAATATCCTTTCTCCCATAAACTAAGTTTTGTAAGCATGTCCTACAAAGTCAGGCATACAATATTCATGAAATAACAATTTATATATAGTGAAATCATTCTTTTATCCAAAAATAATATTATCAATTATATTTCAATCACTTATAGCAATAAAAATTTATATTTTGAGCTTAATTCCCTCAGAATAAACTTTTCCAAACAACTTGTTCCATTATGGTAAAATATTAATTAGGCTGAATCCCACTGAATTGTCAAGTAAAACTGGATTCTCATAAAAGCCTTACAAGACAAACTCAAATGCCAACTTTTTTAATACACTTACCACTTTCAAAGCAAGCATCAAAAATAAGATGTCCTTTCTTGGGCTGTCCACAGTATCCAGCTGGAAGCACCGTATATTTGTTGACATTTCCTCCAATAACATCATCATTTCCCATATTGTTACCTATTTTTTTTCAAAAGAGACCATATTAAACAGAAGTCAGAGCTTACTTAGCAACAGAAATCCAATAAGATTTATAACAGTAATTTATCTTTCTTCCCATGCATTGAGTGGGAAAAAATATCCAGGCAAAAATAGATTAACTACATATTGCAGTACACTAGAAAAAGGATACATTTTAAAATCAAAAAGATATGGGCTGAGACATCACCTGTAGTTCAAACAACTTCTCTGTGAGCCAGTGTAATCAACTTAAAATGCTTGAAAAAGAAAAAAAAGGAAACCCACGTTGCAGAGTGTGGTAAAAGAATTCAATTTTTTATTAAGTTTATTGGTACAATTTAGATATAAATATCATATTCATCATAGGGAGTGTGTAACTGTGTATGATGTATCTTGATTCCTCTTTTTTGCCAGTCCCCTCCTCTCTTCAACCCTTCTCATTACAAAGCTTTATTTACTTTTTATCCTTCTTTTATAGTTTTTTCCTTCCTTTTTTACCCCCTCCTTAGTTTCACTTTCCTTTTGAACAATTTCTTCCTATTTTACAATATCTATTGTACATTTTGATCCTAATTTATTCTTTCAACTTCTCACACTAGGGAGACAATGTGCTGTTTACATGTGTCCAATTTATTTCACTTAGAAGTTGGTCCTAAGGTATATCTACTTACCTAGAAATATCTCAAATTTATCCTTCCTTATGACAGAGTAGTATATCATTGTATAAAAAGCCCACATCTTTTTTATTCACTCCTTGGTTCATGGGCATTTGGGTTGTTTCCAAGATTTAGCTATTACAAATTGTGCTGCTATACACATTGGTGCACATATATCACAGTTATATTTTAATTACCCTGGGAAGATACCTAGAAGGGGAATAGCTGGGTCAAATGGGAACTCTAATCCTAGCTTTTTAAGGAATCTCCACACTGATTTCCATAGTGGTTGCACCATTCTACACTCCCACCAACAATGGAGAAGGGTTCCTTTTTCTACACAGCCCCTCTGGCATTTGTTATTGGTTGATTTCCTGATGATAGACACTTTTTCTGCAGTGAGATGGAATCTCAGCATTGTTTTAATTTGCACCTCTCAAAAGATCAGTGATGTTGAACATTTTTATGTACTTATTTACCATTTGTATTTCTTCATGTGAGAAGTGTATAGTTATATTAGATGCTCATTTTTTGACTGGGCCTTTAAAATTAGGGTGTCTGATTCTTTTTAATTCTTTACATGTTCTAGATATTAGTCCTTTGTCTGAGAGACAACTAGCTAAAGATTTTTCCCACTCTGTGGGTTGCCTTTATACTCTGTTAGTAGTTTAAAAGAATTCAATTTTTAAAAACTACAGTCATCATTGAAAGCCAAAAGATGTTCATTAAATTGCATCAAATATCTAATAAGTGGTAAGTATATAATTTTTCAAAAGTATGTATTCAGTTATTTTAACTAGAATAAAGCAACTGCTCAATAAATAGTATAACTTTAAAATATTCCTTCTTCAGAAATAATTTGAGAACTGTTAAATTAGGATAAAAGTTCTATTTCCTAAGATAAACTTAAATTTTAAAAATGTTTAATGGTTTTACTTCCACTTAAGATGTAGAAAAACAAAAAGAACAGTACTTTTAACTTAACAAGAAATATCCCAAGTATAAAACTGTAGCTTTCTCAAACCCATTAAAAAAACTAAGGTAACATATGTTTGTGATACTGGTATGCTGCTACTGTTCTATTTTTTTTGTTTGTTTGTTTCTCATTTACTACTCTATTTAAAATAAAAAAAACTAAGGGGCTGGGGATTTAGCTCAGCGGCAAAAGCGCCTGCCTGGCAAGTGCAAGGTCGTGAGTTCGGTTCCTGGTACTGGAGAAAAACCAAAAAAAAAATAAAAAATAAAAAATAAAAAAATAAAAAAAACTAAGATAACAAAGCAACAAAATAATCCGACATCAAAGGAATGTAAAGCTCCACCACAAAGACAGGATGCAAGCACTGACTGTTCTGTAAAAAAGAACAGAAAGAAAAGCTTGGTAAAATGCATCCGACACAATTAAGGGAATTTTTAATTAGAGGTTTAGTATAACCAATATGGGCTGAGTGCTGGGATGCATGGCTACAATCCCAGCACTCTTGGAGGTTCAGGCAAAAGGACTGCAATTTCAAGCACAGCCTGGAAAATTTAAAGACTTAGTGAAATCCTATCTCAACATCTTAATAACTAAAAATATAAATAAAAGGGGACCAGGAAATATAGTTCAGTGCAAATGCACTGAGTACTGCTGATCGTAGCACAGAAAAACTGGTAGCCATAAATACCTAATGATTTCACACCCCTTTACAGATATTTCTGTACAGTTCTCCACAGGTATTCAAGTGAAAGATTAGGGTTAGGACACTAGACAAGAAAATGCCTTTTTTTGTGGTACTTGCCTAGAGAGAGATACTGGTTTCTCTCATAGAAAAGACACAAAACTACTAATTCTCTTGTCTCTTATGAGAAAGACAGTCTTATGCTACTAGTGGGAAAAACAAACTGTATCATCTTAGTGCACAAATGAGAAATTTCATGAAAAAGAACAAAAGACATATTTCCTACAATGTAAAGATAGACATGAGTTCAATATTTTATATTAACATTTTTAGATAGTTTTTCACAGGAGCAGAAAACTGTTTCACACAAGACCCATCAAATATTCAAGACAGTTTCGTGCAATGGGAAAGAGGTAACTGAAAAAACTCCACACCAACACTACAGCATATATGGCCTAAGACTGAGGCTAGACAAGTATAATAGAAAACAATCTTGCTCTGTAAACACTAAACTAGTAAGCACTGAATAATAAGCAATAGTAATCTTTCTCTAGAGTGTGAACAGAAGAATGGAAGGAACAACCTGTAGCACAGCTACCCAGGAAAGGGCAGGATTTTGAGTACAGCAGAATATTGAGGAAAACTTCTCACTCAGCAGCCCACTTCCCTCAAAAATAAAGTAACACTGGAAGAAGTTAAAGCCAGTGGCAAACTGTAAGTAAAAATAAAAGCAATAAAACTCAAATCTGGCTGAACTCCTGAATAGGTTGATACATGTCCCCAAAGAAAATGACCCAGTAAAGGACAATATGCATCTCCTGTGACATATAGCATCTTTTCTACTAGTTTACATTACATATCCAATATTTAATCATAAATTGTAGATTATAAAACTTTTAAGACTGCATCTAGAAAAAAAAAGTATGAACTATAGTAAAAAACTAACCAGATATTGGAAATATCACACAATAAACTGTTAAAAGTAATAGAAATCTCTTATTTTTATTTTTTTTTAAATTTTATTTTAAAGAGAGTAGTGGTTCCAGTAGAAAGGAAAACAAAATGCAAGAACAAATGAGAAATTTCAACAATAGGAAAACACCATGATAATGAGCCAAAAGAAAGTTACAAAACTAAAAGCACAGTAACAGACAAAAGAATATCTTCAATGCATTCATCAGTAGACTTGACATAGCTGAAGAATGAATCTGTGAAACCTAAATCAATAAAAAATAACCTGAACATAAACAAAAAGAGAAATTTAAACAGGAAAAAAAGAGAACATTGGAAACAAGAGCTATAGAGAAGACATGAGAGAAAATGTAGGGCGGTCTGGGCGCAAGTAAAGCTCGGACTCGATCCGTGGGACCACCAGCTCTTGGAGTACTGGCTCACTCCGCACAGAGCCCTCACAGGGAGGGCCCACATGCAAACAGAACAGATGATCTTTAACTCAATCTAAGGAAAGGAATCTATGACAAACCAACATCCGACATCATACTAAAGGAATAAAAACTGAAAGCTTTCACTTTAAAATCAGGAACAAGACATCAATGTCCAGCGTCACTACTCCTATTCAATATAGTTCTGGAAACACTAGCCAGAGCAATTACACAAGAGAGAAATAAAAGGAATGAGGATAGGAAAAGAAGAAGTTAAATTACCATTATTCTCAGACAACATGCTAGCCAGCATAGAAGACCCCAAAAACTCCACCAAAAGACTTCTCAATTTAATAACTAAATTAATTAACATTACTTAAAATAGTCCTCTTAAAAATCAATAGCATTCCTCTACACAAACAACAAACTCACTGAGAGAGTAATTAGGGAAAATCCCAAACTCACAATGACATACAAAACTTTAATACTTAGGAATCAATCTCACAAAGGAAGAACAAGGTCAATACAGTAAAAATTATAGTACTCTGAAAAAAATGAGATCAAATCAGATTTCAGAAAATGGATGATACTTCTTGATTGTGGATAGGAAGAACAAAGATTGTGAAAATGACCATACTCCCAAAACTGTTACACAGATTCAATGCAATTTTGATCAGAATACCATTAGTATATCTCACAGATCTAAAGAAAATGTTCCTAAAATTCATCTGCAACAAGAATTGACCTACAACAGCACAAGCAATCCTGGCTTACAATCCTTGATTGAAATTATACTACAAAGCTCCTGTGATAAAATCAGCATGGTACTGACAAAAAAAAAAAAAAAAAAAAACACCTGAGGATCAGTGGAACAGATGAGAAGATGCAGATACAACTACAAACACACTCAGTCACCTTATCTTTGACAATGGGGCCATACATGTTCCCTGAATGTAAGAAAGCCTCTTTAATAAGTGGTACTGAAAAAATTGGCAATCCTCATGCTGAAGCCTAAAACTAGACCTATGTCTATCACCATGCACTAAAGTAAAGTCCAAATGGATCAAAGATCTAAATATTAAAACAGAAACACTAAATTAATTGGAAGAGAAAGTAGGTAGAAACCTTGAAGACATAGGGGTAGGCAGAGCATTCATGAACAAAAAACAATTGCACAGAAACTGCTTCAAAGAATCAACAACTGAGATTTTATCTTATTGAAATGTTTTTGCACATCTAAAGAAATCACCAACAGAATAAAAAGAAAACCCATGAATTGGGAAAGAATTTAGGCAACTGCGCCT